ATTCCTAGATTTAAGGGATGCAGACTTTGCAACAAATTGTGCAAAAAACAATTATCCCATGTGGAGTTACAGGGACCTGCTTTAGAGTGTAAAAAAAATTACTGCAAGGGAAAATTGCGCCTGTCATATTTTGCTACCACATCAACATGCAGCAACTAAAACATGTTGCAATTTTCTCTACTAAGAGCACGACTGACCGGAGACAGGAACCGAAAGTACATTGCTGTTGTCAGTAATGAAAACATGCAAGTTTAGTGAAAAACTACTAAACATATTAATTTTTCTTTTTCTTTTTAAATTTAAGAAACGGAAGGATTTTGTAAAAAAACAAACAAAAAAACCCCAACATTTTATTGTAATCACACATGGCCTGAAATTTGATTAAATAAATGCTTGTTTGTTTTTTGCTTTCATGACGTTGGATCGTTTTTTTTTTTTTTTTAAGAAAAATAAATAAGGGGAATATGATATTTAAAATGTGCTCATATGTTTACATAGTTCAGTGGACATGCACATGGTGGTGCCTATGGGAGGAAAACAGCTGCAAACTGCTGGACGCCTGTGATCTCTTTAATGCCAAGGGACATATCGATCCATCAAAGAACGCTTTCACTCACACACACATACTATGTTTGCAGAGAATTTGGCTACATGTACTCATTGGTAGACGTCCCATTTGTCGACTGACCTGCAAATGTAGGCCCCTCAAGTAACATGATAGATTTCACTGTGCATGTGCTCGGACGAAGGGCTGCACAGAATCTTGGCAGAAAAAGTTGTGTACGACTGCTCGAAATTTCTCTCTCGGCGCAAAGCGCTGCCTTCCAGGCTCCAGGGAGCAGAAGTTTGATCTCACAGCCTTCCACACGCGTCAGCGGATCGGCCTCAGCGCTCGCCTGAACCCATGGAAGACACGAAACATTTGATATGACTTTAAATGAAACGGCGATGTCATGCTGCACGAAAGGATTTAAGATGAAATTTCAAGGTCAAGGCAGGAGGGGCTTACGGGGGGGATCCGTTTACAGAAAAGAAGAAGATGCCATGAAAACAGAAGTATGAGATTTAGGACAGTGATGACCTTATAAGCTTTTAAAAAGTGTTTTTATAAACCAGAGGGTTCGGGCTGCCAATTTATACAGTCTTCAAGTTTAAATAAAAAAAAAAAAAAAAAACAAGAAAAAGAACCAGGGTTAGGGTTAGCCAGGCTATCAGGAAGAGGACGGTCGAGCTCCAGGACTGGGAGGCTGATTTTGGTACAAACCTGTGTGCAGATACAAGATCCCTTAAGTTGGTGCCTTCATCTGCTCAGCAGTTTCATTTTTGTATGAACAGCATGTGACCAATAAGGGAACATGTCATTCAGGAAGGAAATGGGTTACGCGTGTCAGAGATGAACATATTTTTGGTACAAGATGTGCCGATAAACATCAGAACTAAAGCAGAGCAACCGGTGAAGAAGCTGGCCAGAATGAATCCAGCACCAACATGGCCTTTTTTTTTTTTGTTATCTCCAATAATAATTTCTCCTATAATTCTGGAATATTGGTGATACTAGCCAAATGTTAAACAGAAAATCTAAATTCTGTGTTTTTGTTTTAACGTCTTTGATGATTTAGCCAGATTGCTCCATTCAGCGCCTGGAAATAAATCTTGCTTAATATTTTATTCTCTCAGGCTGGTTGATTTTAAAATTTCAGTTGAAATTTTGAGCATATTTCTTCATGTTTTTTTTTTTTTCTTCGTTTTTTTTTGTAATTTTTCTGATTGCATGCACCTCTACATAAAGGTATGAAATCTTTCAAATAGAGGTTTTGTTATGTATTTTTCTCAGTTGTTCCTCAGCTCAGCCACATTTTGTGTGTCGCTGCTTTATTGTAGTTTTATGCTGTCGTCTTTAGATGTCCTCAGTTGCTTCACCTGTTTTCTGCTTCCAAATAGTTCACCTGTGTTCATTTTCCCCAGCCTAAATTTCCTTAGTTACCTTAGATTATGACTGGAATCGGATTGTGTTTCACAGCACATGCATGCCTCTCCTCTTTTGTTTACACTCACATGTAAACATTCCTTGTTTTTAATTAGCATCAGGCTTTGCGATCACCTGCCTTTAAGCAGCTTTTGTTTGTTCTTTTGTTTGTTAAAGGCTCCTGATCCTTTGTTGTTGTTTTTTTTTTTCCTGCCATCCACGCAAGTCTGCATTTCATTCCTCTGTCCACATTAAAAACAACCTGGACATATTTGTTGTAAGGACAAAACCCAGTTCTTTGTGACTGTGAGATTAGGATTTCTTTTGACTTCCTGATCCCTTTTTTTGGCCCACTGAGTACCAAAACTCAGTGGGCCAAACATATCTGACCAAATGTTTTTGAGCAAAAGGAGAGAGAGGAGCTCAGACTTTAAAGTAAATACTACCGCAAAACATTTGAAGGCCTTTCAAATATGATTCTGGAATGTGCTTTTTTATTACATTTACGTTCTAGACATTTGGCTCTTACTCTATTTCTTCGCACGTAGTTATGCCTTAAAAGTAAAGCAGCTATTCTGTTCCATAACAAAAAATTAAATGTTGATTTGTCTCGGGAAGAAATGTGAAATATCAACACACACAAAGCAAATCTAAGAGCCACTTCTACTTTGGATTTAACTCTTGTTGTAAAGTGAATATTTTACTTTTGATTCAGTCGACTCATTAGTGGCTTGGTTTCTTTTTCCTCAATGGTGCAGAGTGCTCCGAGGCAGGACTTTGAACTCAACATTCCTCCCCAGTGTGTGTGTGTGTGTGTGTGTGTGTCGGTGTGTGTGTGTATGAATAAGAAACATATTGCAAATATGCTTTGAAGAAAGCATCAAAATATATTAAGTGCTGATTTATGACTTTAAACAGATTTTTATCGTTTGCAGAACTTTAAACGGCACTGATGGAATTCCTTGTGCAGTAAATCCACTTTGACCCTTTGTACCACTGAGAATATTTATGTTATAAACCATCAGACGGGAATGAGTTTTACTTAAACAGACTGTGCTGTACAGTAGGTAATTTGATAAGACTGTTTTTTTTCTTCTTTTTTTTTTATCACATTGAATGTTGTCACAAGCTCATTCATGTAAAGTAGGGATGACTATCAGTGTGTTCTGTTGACCGTATTTATAAAAACATCATTTAGTCATTAATTATATGGTGTTTGGTACACAACTCCACAGGGGTCCATTTGGTGTACAGCCTTCCATCAAACGTCATCTGGAGTCATGCCAACCACTTAGCAATCCCGTCTTTTATGTTCACTCACGATCACTCATAGAAGAAAACTGAAACACATTTTGAACAAGAACTTTGTGCCACTCTCTCTATCTTATATCTAAGAAGCTACTGGTTTAACTGTGCAGCTCAATTTGATTAGATCCAGGACTTCTGTACGATCTTTGATCGCTTAGAGCAAAGGGCAATCATGTACTCTTGCTTTAACTTTATGTCGTCTCTGTATCATTTGGCACAAATTACTGGCTCAGTAAAACGGGTAACACTTTATTTGACAGGGTGTGCATAGGACAGAGATGAGACTTTGATATAAAACCTGTTATGAACATGAAGGAGGCTATGAATGTTTACAACTGTTGCAATGAAGTTCAATTTGGTAAATAATGACATTCTATTTCAAAGTTGCTTTAAAAGTTGTAATTAAAGTCCATTAAATGTGCCAATTTTGCATTAAATGCGATGATTTGCAAAACAAAGTGTCAGTGTAAAATGTGGCTGCTGATATTGTCTTGCTAAAATAATTAACTTAAACCTCCTAAGATTTGGTCACGCAGGAATAATAAATGTCTAAGGATTTTTGCTGTTTTTATGAGGTAGATCAATGCAGATTACAGGATAATTCTGGAGTGGAAGAAAAACAACAAATGATTCAATTTCCACCCCTTTTTTTTTACAAACAAAAATCTGAAAAGGGAGGCATGCGTTTGTCTTCAGACCTCTTTATTCTGATATTCCTAAATAAAGTCGAGTGCAACTATTTGCTTTTAACAGCTAACTAATAAAATAGATTGTGCTCCTGTGCTCCGTGAAAGCCTCATGAGTTTGTGAGAAAGAAGCAATAAGATGAGCAGTGAAAAGAGTGGTTGGTGGAGCCAACTCTTCAACGCTACAAAGAAAGAGTTGCCACTAAATCGCAGGCTTCAATTTACAACCAGAGCTACAGAAACAGTGGCTTAAATTAAAGCATATTTATGACAGACTGAATTGGAAAGTGAAAGTTCAGAAACAAACCCAAAAGAGACCCGAGACATAGCCCAGAGGACCTGCAGTCTCTGAGGCCTAACAGAACAGAACAGCTGCATTAATACTGAAATTAAATGAGATGCAAGCAAACAAAGTGCAATGCTTTTGGTTGATATTACTGCGGCATAGCACACATTTTAGATATTTACTTGCAGAATATTTTGTTTTTGTCTCACTTCAGGATCATATGTGTCACTGAAACATTTACATTTATGGATGTCACATGATAGAGTGACAAGGTTCAATGGGATTTGAAGACGTTTTACAAGGTACTCTAAGTGCTGTATGAAACCCAAAGAGCAAACAACAAAAGCGGTCAGAAAAAACAAACAAACAAACAAAAAAAACACATCACAGAACATCACATGAAACATGTACATAATTTATTTAGATAAAAATGTTACATCACAAACTTATCTTTTCTTTTTCAAATAAATACCACAGGGAACCACATACTGTAACAAGCTCCACGACCTGAACAAACAATGACAAGAAAATTGTGCGAAAATACCTTGCAAACATTTAGTAAACATTCCACTGAGTGATTATATTCTCACTCTGACCACTTTAAAAAAAAGTAAAAAGTTCACATATAACAGGTTTCCTCTTATATATATATATATATATATATAATATATATATATATATATATATATATATATATATATATATAATATATATATATATATATATAAAATTCACAATTCTAAAATTGCTCTAGTGACTTTTTTAAAAATTTTATTTCAAAGTAGAAACATTATAGTACATGCCAATGGGAACACTTTTAAAATATGTTTTAACAAAACTGAAAGTGCTATTCAGTGCTGCTTTGGATTGGGAAATGACTTTTCTTGAATCATAATTGTTGAACAAAGGGTCTTATTCACAGAGAATAAACGTGATTCCTGGAGGACAACATTTGAGTTACCCCACCTACACTTGGACCACTTTAAGATGTCGCTCTATCATACACACTGTAGTCTATTACATTGAAATATGCGGGATATTAACTCCCAAGGCCAAATGGTAATACAAACTGTAAGACTGGTCTGACTTGTAACCCGTAATCCTTTCAAAACAGAATCTTTTTGTCTCAGCCGAGCCGGTGCAGGTGCATCGGTGGGTAATCGGAGACAGGTCACTGAAGGGGGGGGAGTGAATGTGCATCGTTAGCATGATATAAAACAGCAGCTGTGCTTGGAATGTTGTAGTGTCCGCTCATTATTCAAGACTCATTGCACATAACAATGTTGCATCCTCAAGCACCGAGGATGTGAAGGCATGAATTACATTCCTTATTATAAGGGAGTATCGACAAAACAGTAACCATTTATAAAGGAGGAACGGCAGAGGTGCAAAGACAGGCCACTGCCAGGAGGGAGCAGTGTGGAATTTTAGCTGAAAGCCCACAGAGCTCGGGCTGAAACAGGAATCCACAAATATGACACCACGAATATATAACAGACATGCAAACAATCACTTGCACGGTGCTTCCAAAGATTGCATGTCTAAGACGATAAGAAAGCAGGACTCTCTAATAGCTTAGCGCCAGCCCACGATCAAACTATCAAGACTTAAAAAAGCAACAACAACAAAAAGAATCATCTTTAAGACTTGGTCTAATACTTTGAGCAGATTTGTGATTTCAGCATGTCTTACAGTGAAATGTTGGAAAAGTTTTCCTCAAAGAACCTGTGTTCTGACATTCAACCCCTGCATTTATTTAGCTGTAAGTCTGCACCGAAAAAAAAAAATAAATAACAGGAGACCAAGAAAAGGATCCACGTGCTGGAAAGCTTGTTTTCCACGCTGACGTGCAACGACTGCGTGGTTATGTCTTCGACCAGGGATCGGCGATAAGAACCTTGTGATACAGTACATAAAGATTTCCTCTGAAGGAACAAAGTTCAATGTGTGTGGCAGTGTCAGCTGATCCAACTCCACACGGAGGCTGGACGACATGCTCTAAAAAAATCGGCCTCTTGCACTGATTTAGACTGGCTGAGAATCCCGGCTCCTCTTCCCCATCTTCAGAAGCTAACTTTAGCCTAACTGACCTGGGAAAAGATTTCAGATAGACCTCTGCTATCTCCACCTAGCCTAATGATCTGTGAAGCGATCTAATCTGAAAGAAAGAAGATAACTTCCTAAATGAAGATCCTTTTTTTCTAAGTGCTTAATGTCCATTAAACCTAACATAAGTCAAGAGAAAACACATACGAAAGCAGTCTTAAGACATATATTATTTGAGGATGGCATTTTGGGTATAATCCTAACCTGCAGAGTAGAATCTCCAAGTTTTCTATTCATCTGGGTGGGTGGAGGGTACAGAATCATCTAATTGTCAAACTAAGCAACAAAGCTAATGTGTTTATTCATGTCTGCTGGTGCCAGGCTCAGCTGGATTGAGGCATTTCCTGGGGACCGCACATCTAGAGCCGTTGAGAGAAGACTGACACAAACTGACCAACACAACTGGAGCAGCCGAGCCGCGGCTCTGTTGGCCCCCGAATGCCTGTTCCAACTGTCCCATTGATTTCAGACGTAAACACACAGCCTTACACACTGAGACCAATCTGGGAAATGTCACAAGGCTGAGGCAAAGATGCGCTATTCTGGAGCAGGAGCTGCTTTTTCAGTCCTATGTTTATTTGAATACAGTGACTAACACTGTGTCTCGGCCCTGGAACTGTTGTCGCCCTGTTTATTATCATTATCATGTGTGGTTTGTACCCTTGCACGATGAGGAAATGGCCTCTGTGGTCGCAATAAACACTGCATGTACTGAAACACAGCAACCACTAATTTGTAAGAAAAATGGCAAGGGCTTATTTCAACAAAGGAACACAGCTTCTGTTTCACAGAGAGGATAGAAAGTGCTTTTAGTTTTTACGACTTTTATGCCAAGGTGTGCTGTACATTGAAGCCAGCAGAGAGAATGAACAATTTCATTTTCGACTGTCCACAAGAAAACTTTGAAATCAGTTATAAAAAATAAATAAAATATCTATACATATATATTTAAATTGCTGAATTTTAAAAACCTATATGCATTTGAGGGCAGCCCAAAGTATTGCGAAAATACAAACTACTCTCCGCCTGAAAGATATCAGATATCTTTAGGATTCCAAAACGCTCGCTTTCAAGTTTTATCACAGCATTCGCAGAGCGTAACTACAGGCGTTGTTCTCCTAAACAGGAAGATCTAAATCTCCGAGCGTTAGAGCATATCTCTGAAGCGTTCTGTCAACAGCAGACTCTAATGCAACAGCACGTCAAATGCAAGAGCAGGAGACGTGTGTCTACGGTTTCCTGTGGTGCTGATCTCTAACGCTAGCACAATCAGATGCTAATAAAGACAGAAATGTGGCAGATTGCCATCTCAGCACATCGGAATGTACTTGCAACGCCAATGCAGTGCAACCCATCAGCCTGCAAACCATCGACGGGAATATGTTCCTTTTTTTTTCCTGCAGGCATGCAGGCGTGTTCAAATGAAACTGACTTGATTTTGAAAGAAAGTCATCTTTCCCTTGGAGCTTAAAGCAGAAAATGCAAAGACGACGAGCTGTAATTATGAGTTTCACAAAGCATGTCACATGGTTAAAAATAAAAAATAATAATGAAAAGTAAAAACATCTGAGATACCGCCATAATTTAACAAAAGCGGGCGCAATGTCAAAGACAGTTAACACAAAAATATTGTAAAGCAGGTCTGAGGTAGCTTAAAGAAATCTTGTGTGTAAAAAAAATACAAATGAAATCCTCTTACAGTATTAAATGTGGAAATGATGGGGAAATAAATATGTTCCTCAGCTCAAAGGGATCATTGCAGTGAGCCGGCCAGCTTGGCCGGCCTTACCTTCAACAGACCATTGAGGAAAATAGTTCATGAAGGCAGTGACAATCATTTGGGGTGAAGTCTCACAGTTCCAAGTCTACAGGCTTGTCGTCGTAGCCAACAGGCTTTCGCTGCAGTTTCCATTGGAGTCCGTGGTTTTGTCCTCTCCTCCACAGACCTCTGACAGCTTCCCCAGACACCTTTCATTGGCATCGCTATCGTCTGAGCTGCCTTTGCTGCGTCCCTGTCGTTCACCTTGCCAGCTGTTGCGGTTCTGGACGTATCCATTGACTGGTCCCGTGTTGCTGAGGTGGTTCCTCTTCAGGCAGAGGATATCCTTGAATGCGTACCTGAACTCAGGACTCCTGCAGTAAATCATTGGATTGAAGGCAGAGTTTGAGTAACCTATCCAGTTGAGTACTTTAAAGGGGATTTTGTGGTCATCATAGTTTGTTACGGTCACCACCACGTTGAGCAAAAAGAATGGCAGCCAACAAAGGGTGAACACCCCCATGATTATACCCAGAGTCTTTAAGGCTTTATGTTCTCGAAGGCAAAACTTTGCCTTTTTCAGTCCCCATCCGTTGTTAGACTCTAGAGACTTCAAGTCACTGCTGTTGGTGTTATGAAAGCGTCCAACACTTTGGTCAATCTTTTTCAGTTGTCGCCTGGCTTCCTGGAAAACACGGCTGTACACAAAAATCATGATGACCAAAGGAATGTAGAACGAGATGATAGAGGAGGTGATGGCATACACAAGAGAGACATTAAACTCACAAAAGTCTGTGCTGTCCTTCTCTGTGTCATTATTTTCTACATATGCAAACCCCGTGTGGATAGGAAAGTAGGATATCAACGCAGCAATCGCCCACACAAGGACAATCAAAACTCGAGCTCTGCACTTTGTCAACATTGACTGGTAACGAAAGGGTGAAGTAATGGCCAAGTATCGGTCTAGGGCTATGACACACAGTGTCTCGATGCTGGCAGTCACACAGAGGATATCAGTAGCAGTCCAGAATCTACACCAAAATCCACCAAAGTGCCATTTGTTGAAAATGATGTTACAGGCACCAAAAGGAACAACAATGAGACCCATAACCAGGTCAGCAGAGGCCAGGGACGTGATGAAGCAGTTGGTCACGTTCTGCAGCCGTTGGTAGCGGGCAATGGCAGTGATGACAAGGATGTTTCCAAAGACAATTAAGAAAACAAGTAGAGACATGATGATTCCCAGGAAGATCTTGACTGTTTCGCTGGGTTCCACATTCTTGTCTGGTGAGAATGCTGTCGTGGAGGCGTTAACGTTGCTTGAGAGCGTCGTATTTTCCATCTGAAGACACCATCGGTGGACAGGCACACACACACCACAAAGACAGGCATACACACAAGAAAAAGATACAATTACTTGAATTGAAAAAACAACAAAACTTTCTGTACTAATATTGTGAATGTGTAATTTCTATCAACTATCGCTAACAAAAAAGAAAATAATTTGAGTGGCTGAGCTGCACACTTATAGAACACACATGTCAACATCTGTGCCAAGAAGCTTCAAAGACATGTTGCAAGAAAGCATAAAAAATAAAATAAAACACACTACAAACCTCAACAGGTAGTTGTTGCGAGTCCTGCTTGCCTTGCACTGTGAAGATGCCAGAGCGCGGATAACTCCTGCAGAGTATCACATACCCGCTCCACTTCTTAATCTTAGCTTGTCTCACTCCTGACTCCGTCAGTTGAGCAGTGTTTCCTCTAATGTGTCTCCCAGGCTATTTGTCAGAGCCCTTGTAGCATGCTGTGATGACATCATGGTCAGCGCTCAGCCAATCAGGCAGCCAGGCTGCGCAGAGTGCTGAGAGCTCTCAGGAGTTTGAACACACTGTCCCTGCGGTTGCAGTTGCAGGGCTGCAAAAGAGAGAGACAGAAGTAAAGCAGCAACGCGGTCAAAGGGTAAAAATTTACATATTTAAAGAGGTTGCAAATGTGTTCCAGAGTGATTGTTATCTTTACAGTAGTGTCAAAAGATTCAGTTGTGTGGTACACTCCAGGACCAAGGAGAGATTTTATACATCTTTGTTAGTTTGGATCCCATTAAATCCCAATTTCTTTAGAGGACTTTTGTGCAATCTTGGTAGATTTACAAAAAGGTTACCTGAAAAATCAAACTAGAAATGATTGGATCTACATTTGTTATGATTCATCCTCAGACTTCTTGTCGCGACAACACCTGGGAATGTTGTTGAGTGAGTGAGTGTGTGTTTGGCACAGCGCTCAACTTTTTTAATTTAGAAATACTTCTGAAAAGGTTTCAGCCTCAACCAATGAAATTACACCTGGTATTATTAATAGTCACAGTCTACAGAGTGTAGTTAGCTCAGTACTAACTCTCATGCAATGCTTTCCCAGTAAAAAACAAAAAACATTTTGGAGTCACCAGAAATTTGCATTCCATGCTGACAAGTCTAAAAAAAGGACTATGCAAAGACTCACACGCAGTTATTCAAATACTGATCGATTATGAATTACGCCTCTGTCATACCCAAGCAAACACAGAGTTTTTGTGATTGAACCAAATGTTTTTTGAGTTCAACCAAAAAACGAACAAAAAAGTCTCTAAATGTAGTATAAGTGAAAGGAAAATTGTGACTAAATGCAACAGAAAAGTGATTATTATTATTATTATTATTATTTCAGATGGGAATAATGGTGCAATTTGTAGCACTTTTGACATCACAATAAGAAGGTTGAAGGTTCAAATCCAAGCCTGGGGAGTTTCTGACTTGTGTTTGCATAATTCAAACTGCAGTCAGAGTGTCATGGCTTCCTGTGCAGCTAATTCGTCTCTCTCAATTGTTCTTAGGTATGACTGTTTCTCTGTGTTGTCCTGAGGTTGGCTGCCAACCTGTCCAGGTGGCCCTCTCCTAATAATTGTTGTTGATGGTCAAAGATAGATGAATTTTAATGGGTCCATTTTCTTTTGTACAATGCACACTTTGAAAATACTGACAATAAGACAAATAGTTGAATGCAGGCATGACCAAGAACAGACCCTCCAAAGCTGCTGTCCTGCAACTGTTAGTTGGTTCCTTCAGACTAGCCAGCAGCAATTAGCAAACACCTGCAATTAGAAAGAAGATGTAACCGTGCATCTGCTCCTCTGCGTAATCCTGGTAAAAATGTTATTCAAGGGTTAACAGAGGAACGATGTTGTGACATCTTCCTGAAGGTGGAGTTTCTTAAAGAGACAGAGGCCCAATTTCAAGGCATTAAATTACAAAGTTCTTTCAAGTCATACATGACATGCACAACTTTTCTATGACAACTGACAGTAACATTGTTACTTGATTGTGCTATAAAATGCCTGTAGAATACATAACAGTGCCTCTTGAAAAGACATTCACTAAAGTTCACAAGTTTAGAGGCCATATCAGCAGATATTATCTTAGACACTCAACAAGAATAGGCACATATATCCATGCATCTTCTGTTATCTTGCACATTCTGCAGTGTTGATTTACCATAAAAAAATAAATAAAATTACAGCAAGTCAGTGAAATGCTGCAGAGTCTGAGAATGTTTTTCGGTTGTTTTTTTTTTTTTTTCAGTTGCACAACCATCATGCAGGAACATGAATTACAAGCAGGTATTCAGGCTTAGTGTTCTCCATGCTTGGTTGAAATTGTGTTTGTCGGAGCAGGATTTTGCTAATCTCACTAAGGGACGGATTGACGATATCCAGATTTCTGACCTTTGATGAATGCAGACACCACAGGCTCTGGCCCTCATCTCTGTGCTCAACAATGAGCTCTCTCAAAACTCCATGCGACTGATGACGCGAGAGCAAACTGTATCATCGAATTCAAATGTTTGAATCCTATGCTCGTCACTCGAACAGATGCAACAAATTACATTCTGAGATTTTGCTTAAACAGAGTAATACCAGGGGGCCCGTGTGTGACCTCCCCACTGTACTTTTTACTACTGCTTTTAACCGTTGGCTCTTTTGTCGTGTTCCACTTACACTGGCAATTTTCCAGGAACATCATTACACATCATGTACCCAGAATGTTTGGTTGACTCAACCCACAGGATTCACTCACTCTGCCTTTTTGTTGAAATTTCCATTTGCATCCAAGAAAAATCCCAGATTTATACACATACTGCTCTAAGGTTTGCATTGAACTCTTTTGTTTTTTCACCTCGAGTAAAAGAGGATAAAATTGAGATTCATTTTTATAAATGCTGAGGTTTGTCTCTGGGTTTTGGCAACCCAGAGAGAAACTGGGTTACCAACACCCAGTTTTTGGTATCCTCTTTGAGCTTATCTTGTACACAACATGCACGGCAAGCCCCTCACGCTAAGCCTCACTGCTGATAAGTCAGAGTTTAATCACCAACTCACACATGCGACCTCCAGTAGGAGATGTTTTTTTTGACATTTCAGTCTAACTCAAGAAACTTTTCATTATTTATACTTAAATCTATTACTCTAAACTATGTACAGCTGCATACTAAGTATTATGCAAATATACTAGTTTGACTCTTATATCTGCAGAATATGCATTGCATAGCGTTTATATGTTGTAGGAGAATGTAGGTGTTCCAGATTTGGCTTATGTGACCTCGGTTACCACCTTAGTTATGTGTGAAGAACCTTAAATCCTCTGGTGTTGTCTTTTTACCAGATCACACATAAGTTTGTAAAGAAAATGATCAGAGGCACTGATGCAAATTAACCACAGTTTATTTAATCACAATAATGCTAGGCATAAATAGTCAATTCATTTTTATTGTACAATATCAACCACTTTAAAATCCTAAATCTATGCTGGCCCTGGAAACCTTACCGCTGATGACCAGTTACTTTGTTTAAATAAAATCAGACTGCTTGGGGGAGAAATAATAATTAAAAAAACAAATGTAACTGAATACACCTAGGTGTTCCCAAACAAAAACACACTCGCACAACAAAAGAAAAACTCCCGGTGAATAACACAAAACAAGAAACTCCCCTTCCACTAGTCTCCTCAATCTAGATAAAACAGCTTGGAACCAGGGACAGCACAGGTTATCTACAAGCGAGCCTGGAGGGCTGAACAATAAAAACTCCCAAAAGAATAAAAAGTTTAATCCATAAATAACCAAAACAAACTAAAACTGAAACAGTAGCAGGCCAACCTGCACACAACAGAGAATAAAATTAAACAGATATTTTAAATAACCACATAATAATGAACTGCCTTTACCTTCGCTAAAAGCTAGCAGAACTCTGTATATCCTCTCCAAGAGGAGGTTTCCTGCAATAAAATGGAGCCATCAGAAATAATTCTCAACCCAGCGCACACTTCATGTTAACCATACCTGCAGAGAAATCAGCCTGGACTCTCACCCATCTACCCGCTTTTAAATGTAAATACCGATTGCTTGCCTCCGTAATGAATCAGCTGCGCTAAAACAGCGTCTTCCTTATATGGGCAACCGGAAGAGTGCATAATGGACATAATGCCCCGGCTACACTTAGTTACAACCACAAACCTCCATTTGCAAATTTAAATGTACCAAATTTAGATAGAAGAGTATTTTCATGCAATAAAGCCAAGTTTCAGACATCTTTAACGTCTCACAGAGCACTCTAATGCTAACACATGGGCACCAATGCAGAAGCAGCCAAGAGGCCTGTGGTAACGCTGGAGGATGACGGACCAGGTGACCAGAAGAATGTGCGCCACAATATGGCTTCTATGTTAGGGTTTCTATGTCAAACTCCAGTCCTCAAGGGCTGCTGTCCTGCAGTTTTTAGAAGTGCCACAGGTACAAAAAACGCTGCAATGAAATGATTTAATTACCTCCTCCTGGTGTAGATCAGTTCTCCAGAGCCTTGCTAATGACCTAATTATTCTATTCAGGTGTGGTACAGCAGAGGCACATGAAAAAGTTGCAGGGCAGTGGCCATCCAGGACTGGAGTTTGAGACCCCTGTTCTATGTGGAAGTGACAAAAAGGACTTCCTTACTAGAAAAAGAGTCATAAAAGGTTTGGCACGTGCCAAGAATAGAGGAACCTCGCTTATTTGCAGATTCACCCATTTACTGTGGAGCATAACTCCAAATTATTTGCAGAAAACTCGCCCAATCACAGATTCTTTCACATCTCAAATATTTGAGAGAAAACATAGCTTTGGGTTCTGAAATCTCTTTGACGTTTGGATTGCCCTCTAGCTGTCTTTCAGAACTCTTTTTAGTCAAACATCGTCACCATCGATTTCTCGGAGCGACTGACCTCCATCTTGATAGGATGACATACAGACCTTGTGACCTGATATGCTGCAACCCTTTGTTTTATTTTTTTCCCTTTACTTACAGAACAACAATACCTTGAAGGGGTTTTTTTAGGGGTCATTTTCCTTGAATCTCTTAATTGACCCACAATTTTTTGAATTGAAACTTTATAGATTAAAGGCATACGACCTACTGCAATAGTGAAAACTACATATTCAGTTAATATAATTATGGTGGCCTTTACAGCTTTAAAATTTTAAAAAAAAGTTTACTTTTAAACTTTTTTTTTTTTTTTTTTTTTTTTTTACAAATACGAGGATATCTGTCAGTTGTGACTGTTTTGAATAAATAGAAATTTTATTTCTGCTGACCAGCCAGGTTTTTAAAAAAATTTTTTATCCATCTAATCCTGCTCTGATTTCAGGAATTGTTACTCATGTCAATCAGGTTCTTATCTAATACAGCGGGGCAAAGGCGTGGAATTGATCCGGACCACTAATTGGTCCTGAGCTAAACCCCCTTTGGGAAC